AGCTTTTCCATTGTCTGCACTTGACTGGTTCATTTAACTTGTGCGTTACTGGGTTTTTTTTTCCTTCCCATTTCCCTTTCCAGCAGAAAATGTCACCATCTCACATCCAACTTCTGCTCAGAAAACTTGCAGGTTCATTTGTGTTCCAAAACCAGGCAAGTTTGCTCCCTCAAAGCTGAATATACACACTTTTTTCTTTTCCTGGAGCCTGTTTTAAGTTCAATCCCATGCCAAACAGAGTCCCTCAGGTCCCAGTAACGCAATATTGATGTCGGGCTGCTAGCCAGGGAAGTTGTAGGGCCTTTTGAGGTCTGCAGCAGGATCCATCTGACTTGGTAACTTCAGCAGCATTAGTCCAGAAATCTTCATGGATACCAAAAAGAATGAAACTAGGGTCAACCCCCCTTTTTGTGACATCTTTTTTCAAAAATCTGTTATATTGCCAGGGCAGATGGAAAGCTCCTGACTGTTGTCTCAATCAGGGCAGGATGACAGGGACATTTTCCCCTGTTCCATGCAAAGATGGGGGGTTGTGGCTGGGTATTCAGCGCACCACAGAGGCCATCTGGCCTGGGAACACAGGACCCTATAGCCTGACAAGCGGATGACAGGACAGGGCCGGTGCACTTTCCCTCCTCACTCACACCTCCCATACATGTTAACATAAGCACGCCTCCAGCTTTTCGGGATTTTAAAGGGTCTAAACAATGAAGATTTTGCCCCTAATCCCCAAAAGTGCTCCTCCATCACAGAAAAGCTCTCTTTATTCCTGGTGTGCAAGAAGTTAATAGTATTCCTAAGCAGTCTCGCAGATGTGAGCCGTATGCTGTAGATAAGTTATATCAGGAGAAAGTGTTATCGCTTGGGCTTACATATTTTGTGCTTATCCGTTGGACTCCAAAAAGCAGGTGCATTTAATTACCCATTTTTCAAAGCATTTATTAATCATTTATTAGCTCTTTGCTCATTTGCTGTAGATGTAACTTGACATATAAAGTGAGCCCAGTCATTTTATAACCAAGCACATCTCAGGAGGAGGAAAGCACTGGGTGATAGAAAAGGCCTTACTCATCTTACTTATCTGTAGAGCACTTGGCACGTGGTGGTACAGCTCTAGCTGGGGCCTCTGGGTACTTTTAAGAATATAAATACTAGCACCTTAATCTGCCCCATCACCTGGTATCTGGGGCACTGGATGAATTAGCTGGCAGACTGCATACTGAACTGGAGATGTCTAACCTTAAGCTGTTACTGTCAAAGTCAGGATTTGTCCTGCGTGATCATTCAATCCCTGTGAGCGAACCTTTCCCTGTGCTCCCTGGCACCCAGTGCAGGTCTCCGAGTTCATCGTGCTCCAGCCTCCCCTTTGCACCGTCACTTAAGGGAGCAGGAGGACAGTCACAGGGCAGAGAACGTGCCCACCAGCAGAATCTGGTACTGAGAGGAGACTAACGCAAAGCCCCTCTTCGGCACCCAGCATTGCAGAGTTGCAGGTACAGCACGGTCAATCTGCCATGGGCAGTCATCTCTCACGCTTCATCCCTCGCTGTCTGTCTGCTCCCAAACACAAACTCACTCCAAACACACATCAGAAGAAAATCCTTACTGTTCAACCACAAGTCCTGAGATAGAGAGCTCCAGGAAACAGCAAAGTATCCTCCTTGCCTGAAAGACCAGCACTATCAGAGTTTTCTCAGAGACTTATAGGCTCTGGGGAATCAGGGTGAAATTTCACCCAGATGTTGTAATTTCCCTATGATCGCTACCAGGAAATAAAGAAACCTTTATTTCCTAATAGCGCAATATCCCACTTCTCCTCTGTTGTCCTCTGCAAGGAGAGCAGCACAGCAAGCAGCAAAACACAGCCATTGCCAGAAAAAGAAAGCCTAAGAAAAGAGTGTCTCTCTTCTGTCATCGTAAGAAGACATTATGAGGCCCAGGATCACCTCAACCAGCTTGAGGCATCTTAATGAAGCACCTAATTTAGGCAGGTGTTTCTCTTTTGCTCTAGTCAATGGAGTAAGGAAGCTTTGGGAACAGAAGTGGAGACAACGTTTTATAGCTGCTGTTGCTTTATTTCTTCCCCCACCTGGGTTTTGAATTGATTTTCGGGTTTTCCTAATGAATGTTTCTCTGAATGTTTGCATGTCTTTTGTTTGCCCTCAATATGGGGAAAAAGCTTAAGCCAATAAGTTTGTATTTGATTTTGTAAATAATTCCGGAGCGACACATTATCACATACTCTCAGAACTCTGACTCTGTGCCTTGTCCTCTAGATGTGACACGCCAGACACATCACCCAAGTAGGCTGCGAGGTGCAGGGTAGGGGATGCAGATTAAAATCACTTTGAGGAAAGAGTATCTAGAACTTTATCCTGTACCTCTGTTTAGCCCACAGACCATCAGGAGCTGGTGAAATAATTGCTTTGGACAGATAATAAAACATCCTCCAGCAAAACTAAGGTACTTAATATACTGCCCAAGTCAATTTCCCTTATTTCTGCTGTCCTCTTGCTTTTAATAATGGTTTAATGAAAAATTCAAAATTAATTGGAACTGGCATTAGACATTCACATGTTCCAGTGAGGTTTTCACTGCTTCAATATTTCATAAGCTGACTTCACTACTATGCTTCTCCTTATCCTGGCTTTCGTAGGCTACAATATCATCTCTTTTCATAAAACAAAGGGTCCCAATATGGGTGGATGGGATACATGAGAAAAGTTTGCAACCACATCACAGCCAAAGAAATAAAAATAATAGCTGTGTGTTTTCTTTCTGCCACCATCCCCCCTTTCTATGTAATGATACATGTCTGAGCCTTGACTGGCAAGAGCTGTCCTAAAAATAAACAGGAGCCGTCTGAAAGGTGTCTGAGGGAGGTATTTGGCAGCTGTCAGGCTGTCACGTACGCTAGAGCGATGGCGCTGATGGACTTGCTGACACCAGACGGGCTCTGCTGAAATGAGAATGCCTTATGCTTCCCTTGGCACTTGCTGGGCAAATTCTGTTGGCCGGAGCCATCAGACCTCGGTGTGTCTGGGGCCTGATCCAGTTCTGGCTGCCGTCAATGAGAGTCTGCCCTTGGATGGCAGTGGGAATTGGATCAGACCCTTGCTTTATCCCTGAGATTCTGGCTTTTTACACCAGGGATGAATTTTGGCTCCCCAGGTAAATGTCACCCCAGTGGAGAAGGATACACCAGGCCCCAGGCTAGAAAGCTTCTGTAGGTGTCTGAACACAGGAGCTCTCACTGAGATGCCTAGATACGGGGACCAGAGCCTAACCTTTGACGGTTTTTGTTGTAACAGCCTTGCACCACTCTGTGCCTCAGTTTCTCCTCTAATAGGAGTGGTGGAGTCCTGTCTTCAAGAAGATTATTAACTCTAGATCCAGGCATTTCTAAATGCTTCCATGGAAGGGACCATGACTGTGCTAAAAGCTGCTCCTATTTCCCACCAGGTGCTTAGTGGACACGTGTTACACCACAGAGCAGTCACGGGGTGAGCAAGCAGAAACACGACGGCATGACATGAGTCATCTCAAGCCTTTGCAGCAACCCAGTGCCAGAGCAAGGACCCAAGAATCCCAGTCCCCACCAAAACAATCATACCTTTATGGTGACCGGGTCTGGAAAGAAAACCTTGCTAGCAGAAGCTTCAGTTCTCAAGTGCACAGGGAAATCTCCGTTGTCTGTAGCGTAACTGAAGATATTTGCTGCTCTTTTTGGCAGAGACATAATGTGCTGGGGAGGGAAAAAGAAGGGATGTGTGAAGACAGGGTGGAAACTTCCTTGTTTTTCAATGAGAGAGGGGACATCTCTCTTGTTCTCAATAGGAGCTGACTGCTGCCATATCTGAAGATCTGACAGTTGGTTTTGTTATCTAATGGGCAAGAGCAGCCCCTTCTTAGTGAAGAGCAGGCTCTGAAGCACTTTGGTCTGAAAATACTGGTCTGTGTTGAGAAGAATGGACAAGGGAATTAGTTCTTGTAATACGGCCTACAGGAAATTACCTACAAGATAAGAGGGTGACTTGATCTTCTTGAGAAAAAGAAAAAAAAAATGATTTCCTTATCTTGATGATGTTTGCTCTGAAGTATCTTGTGACTGCCAGAGTCTGCCTTGCAGGATCATTCAATTACAGTCGCTCCCGTGGCTGCCATCGCTTCCTTCCCTTCGGAGGTATCGTTGTATTTACGAAGGTATTGCTTGTTCCTCTTGGTATTCTGAGGCCTCTGTTGTCACCTGTCTGTGCGGTGTGCCTGCAGCCCGTGATGCTGCTCCCGCTCACGTGTCAGAGCAGGATACGATCAGCCCTTCAATTAGACAGGGATCTGAAAGGAAGAGGATATCAAGATGATGAAGCAGTGAGGAGCACGTGGGTGAGTCAGTGTTAGATATCTGATGGTATGAGGAGCAATGAATGATTGCTACCTCTTTTGGAGGGTCCCAGCCTGTTTGCCTATGGATCTTCTAGGGGGAAACTGCACTGCACTGATGAGCGGTGTTCACACCAGCCAGGCTCTGTGTCTCCTTCAGGATGCTCTGGCTCTCCCTCATGAGGAATGTTTCACTATGCAGAGTACTTTTCTTCATTAAAATGGCCACATTAAATAGCTGTGAGGTTCCTCAACACCTACTTTGTGGAACTGATCTACCCCACAGCTGGCAGCTTTTTAGAGCAGCAGACACAGGGTTACTAAACCCATTCATTTCTCACATGCACCCACGTTTCTAATGTCTATGGAGATCCAGCTTTAAAGTTCCCTGAGAGCCATTGGAATGAAGAGCACTTTGTGAAGACAGTTGTAATTTTGGGATTTAGGGGTGTGTGGAAATGATTCATGGAGACGTTTCCCAGCCAGCAGGCTCGTGGAGCCAGGTGAGCTTTTCCCTGGAATGTGAAGCATGCAGCGCAGCAACTGGGAGGAACAGGTTTGGCAGGACATTTTAAGTCGTTTGCAGCAGACAGCCTCTTCAGAGCCACATCCCTGCTCTACCGACCTCCCAGCTTGATGTTCCTCTCTGCCACACTGGCCCTGGTGAGCTGGAGGGGATGGACACGCTGCGAAGGAGCCTTTCTCGCTGGAAGAGGTACCACATTAAGGTGCACCTGGCTGACGAGGACATGATGATGTCTCTGACCGTCAAGCCCAGAGACACGGTGATGGACCTACGGGCTCACTTAGTACGGGAGGGTGTCACTTCCTGGAAGAAGACGTTCTATTACAACTCCAGGCAGCTTGAGGAGCACGAGACTCTGAAAGAAGCCAATATCCAGAACGGCTCTGTCCTGCTTCTTGTCAGCAATAAAAGGTAGGCGAGGAGCTCGTCTGCAGCAGGGGTGGTGCAAAGAAAGGGGAATGCTCCGTGCATCTCAGCTCTTTAGGATGCTTTCCTGTCGGGGTTTGCAGAGAGCAGATCAGGAACTCAAACCCTGCCGTTTCCAGCAGGCAGATTGGGATTCAAGGCTCTTCAGCTCCAGACATGCTGTGGTGTGAAAAAAAAAAGGGGGGGGTAAGAGGCGGAGGAAATCTGGTTGATGCTGCCTGTCCTGTCTCTGACCAGGTTTCACTTTTCCGACTACGTGGCCGAGCACAGAGGGCGAGACAAGATGGGCAAAAAGGCAAGGGAGGTTGTGCGAGATGGGGGAGTGCTCGGGGAGCCTCTCGCCTTCGTTCTTTCTTGTCATGCCTGGCTCTCCATTTCTTTTTAGGAGATGATACTTTCTGCGAGTATTTGGGGGTGGCGCAGTCCTGCTTTGACAGGGCAGAGCTGTGAGCCACCAGCTTACAGCAAAGCACAGTGAGCGCTGGACAAAGGCAAGAGGCTGCAGCTTCCCAAAACGTGGCCAGACAGTGGCAGTTACATCCAGGGAGACAAGAGACTTCCAGGATAGCCAGTGCAAAGGAGATCAGTCAGGACAATTCCAGTGGGAATGAAACCTGGGAAAATGGACCTGAGACCCACTGGCACACAGGATAGTTTAGGTTCAGTGGGGGTAATTTATGCCCACCTGCGCTGTCTTTCCTAATGCCTGGTTGTTGCTGCCAGCGTGATTAATTCTGTGAAGCGTTTTGGGGATAGCGGGTAGAAGAGGTGCACAGCAGAGCACAGGTGTACTGTGTCTAATTCAGGTTTCTGCATCCCCAGCCCTCTGAGTTATGTGTATATGCTGATCAGAGTTTCCTCTGCAGAAAAACCTGCACTAAAGATTTCAGTTCCTGATTATATGCCACATACTGGAATGGTCCTATTTTCCAGTCCAGAGGCAGCTTGAAATCTCACACAAAGAAGATTTAATAAAGCATTTCCTTTCAGAGCTCAGCCAGACACAAGAGATATCACATCGCTCAGCTGACTGCAAACCCCAAGTCACCCACGGCCCCTTTCTCCAACATCCCATTTCAGCTCTCTGATTAACTTGGCTCAGCTCCTCCTTTTCACCTTGTTTTTAATGGCAGGAGCATTTCTATTTGTTGTTGTTGCCAGTGTTTATTTTCCTAAATTGTACAGCCTGAATTTTTGAGAGTAAAAAAGGATTCCGAGGGACTCGGTTGATGGAGTGCACATGTTGAGGCTCTTGAGACAGATGCCTGATTTCCATAACACGCTGTGCACCTTCCCACATACTCCAAAACCAGGGTGTAACTGCAGCAATGCAAAACTCACCAGGAGATCCTGTCCCAGTATGCCGAGTTCAGGGTGCCCACCTGAACTCACTAGCCATTTTTGAAAATTTAGAGCATGTTGCTGAAAGACTCGGCTCATTTTTTTTTGTGAGTACATGACAAAAGGAGTGGGATTTCTATTATTTTTCTCTTGAATTTTATCAAAACCTTTCTGTCTCCTAAACAAGCACCTTTGTTCAGTCTCTTATTCCTTTTCTCAGGGCTGGGTGGATTGTGGGGGGCAGACAGTCTCTCCCTGAGGTCACACCTCTCCTTGAGTTCTTGGACATGAAGGATTACTGGGTTGTGACAATCTCAGCCAATCCCCAAGTATTATGTGTGGAGTGAGTGGCAAATGCCCAGGTATTGGGGATACATTTCTCTGAAGGCTCAGGGGGGTGACTGAGCTATATCGTTGTAGTACGGCCCCCCTGGATGTTTCTGAGACATGCTTATGTGCGGCTCCGCAGTCATCACCCTGCTCGGTGCATAGTCAGGGGCTGAGCGCTGCCTCTGTGACTCAGCACCTTGCCAGATCCTCAGCATACGCAGGGCTGGTTTTTAGAGGGGGTCTGTCACTTAAACCGGGAATTAGGAAGTAGAGAGCAGGAGAAGGCACTGCATTGCAGTTGAGATTACAGCACCATTTTAAGCCTATTTGGCCAGATCTTTAGGTATTATAAACCCTCCAATAGTGTCCATGGAGGTACGCTGGTCTGTATGAGCGGGCAGCAGTATGCAACCTTGAGGAATGTGAGGAGAGTAGGCTACGCAGTGTTGGGACTGCCTAGGAGCCACAGGAGCAGGGAGGAATAGAGAACGTGGTGCTGGGTTTGGCCAGCAGCCCTGAGGATTTAAGAGTTGGTTTTAGTACTTCACCAACTCAGTGAAGCACGGACCCACTCCATCAAAGGTCAGCATCTGCTTCTTAAGTTCTCCCTGAAAATCTTGGTGGCTCCTACTTACTCTCTTGTACTGAGATGCCAGCCAAGCAGAGCTATATTAATTCCAAAAGTGGAGTTGCTCTGATTGCCAAGGTCTGCAGCTCGGTGTCGTGCCTATAAATATTAATGGTCACTCTGTATGCTGTGCGTTCCTACAAGGGGCTCACGGGACAGTTTACTTTGAATCAGAGAAAACATGAAAATGACCCTATTTTTCATCCTCCCCCCCACCTTAATGCCTTTGTAGATAATTGGCGTTTAGCAAAGGCCAAGTCAGCATTTCCACTTCTTGCTCGTGTTTTCTGGGGTTTATAACTTAGTCATAAAAATTCACTTAAGGCTGCAGCTTGGCAGGAAAGGGATCAGCATACCAGCTAATGCTGAAAATTTATTTGGACCTTAGTGTTCAAAAGTTCAAACAAGCCATTTTGGAGTTCAGTCAACAGGACCTCTCACCCTGGGAAAACACATGGGTGGGCCAGAACTGGGAATATCACATCCACTGAGGATGCCATTCTCCCTTGTGCAGAGCTTGTTAATCACATTACTGCTGCACTGATTGAGACTGCAACTCTGTTGGAGTAAAAGCCGACCAAGGAACACGGTGAAAAACAGTTTCTGCCCTGGAGAGCTACGTATTACAATAACATGGTTTGCAAGTGGGTAAAACAAGCAAAGCAAGGCTTGAAATGTGAATGAACATGCAGAGAGAGAACCTCCCCAGCTCAGTGGCCTTGGGCCAGCCTGTGGTGCTCAAGCCATCAGTGCCCAATGCAAGGAGACCACCAGCGAGTCTCGACATGAGAAGAGCAGCCACCCAGCACAGATGCAACAGCATCCATCAGGGCATGCGGCAGGCTGTCCCAAATGCCCGAGGCGTGATCAGTCCTGGCACCGTGGACCACGCCATGGCAGAACCTGTTTGGCTCGCTCCGGAGGCGGTACAGGGCCCCAGAGCCAGGTAGCTGCTCAGCTGGTCTGGTGGTGATGTGGGAGTTCCTGAAACTGGCACGACTCTTCCCAGATTTTGTCTGCCGCACGCAGCAAGCTGCCCGGATGCTCTTTGGTGGCTTCATGCTGTGGAGCACCATCTGAAGAGGCCTTCCATGGTGTAGTCAGCAGCAGTGCTGGATGCATGGCATTCGCTGGTCCTCGCTGATGATTTCTTGGCTGCATTTTGGTGATTGATGTTAGGTGGAGGGATATTTTACTGAGCCCGCCACTTAACTCATAAGCTATGTCAAATATAAGATAGAAATGCGTGATCCAGAGCAATTCCTAGACATGCTGTGTGCTTGTCATTGACTGTTCCTAAGGATTTACAGCTCCAGCTAGATCTGGACACGCTATAAGCACAAGCATGTTGACAGAGCCTTCGCACTTGGTTGCAGGTTCCTTTCTTATGTGGTCACCTCAAGCAGTCAGTTAGACAAGGTCTGTTCTAATAAATAAATCAGTACCATGACTACTCTCTGTTACAAAGCTGGAGTGTTGCACTGCAGCTTTGGCCCAGTCCAGATGCATTTCAGGAGCTGCCATAGGCCAGGGACGGTTCTTTATGGGCTGTCTGAATGTGACCACGCAGGTTTGGAGGGTAAGAATTTAATATGAGGACGTTGGCCGTTCCATGCCAGCTGTCCTCTCAGTGCAGAAGGAAGTCCCAGGCACATTTAACTTACTGGCATAGACTCAGCCAGAGCACATGGGATCCACTCAGTCTTTCAGAAGCCGAGGTTCACTGAGGCCCAGCAGCTATTGCTATTGTACATGGCTTGCCTGGAGAATGGAGTTCAATAAGTCATTGGTGAATAGGTTAAATAAAGTAGATGCTGGCACTTCAGCAGAAGTCTATTATCTGGAATCTCTTGGTGTTGATTTTCTGGCCTGGAGCCACCTGAAAACATCTATCTCGGGTCATTAGCTCAGTTACCATAACAACTCATCTGGGAACAGCTCCTGACAGCTCAAAGAACAGACCAAGGTCCCACGTGATGTATAAGCCACTCTTAGGTCAAGAAAAGCATGTCCAGGATTCTCCCTCTTCTGCAGCCCAGCCTTAGTGTCCCTGGCGAGTACCAGTGCTTATACAAGCTTTAATATGCTTGGGACCCTGCGTGGTCATTCAGAGGCTGCTCAGCCTAGTTTTCCAAAGGTCCGCCCACTCATGGAGCTACTCCTGGCAGAATAACAAAATCATCCCTCTTTGGGGAACCCGGCTAATTCCCTTATTGGCATTCAGTTTACAGCCTCTGGTATTTGGCCCGAGAAATGCAAACTATGACTGAGCCACTTGCAGAAGGTCCAGTTTAGCTGATGCTCAGCTGCCTCCATTTAACTCCCGTGGTGACATAAGGATCCGTGTTTGACACAGACACTCCGCAGTCACTCACTCCAGGCTTATGCTACTCCACTATCCTGTCACCCCTTCTCACTCTGGAATTGCCTGAGAAGCAGTCAGCAAGGACAGCAGATAATGTTGGAGCTCCAGAAAGGGAAACCAGAAAAATAATGGGATCTACACAGTTTGGCCATGCATAGAAACCTGATGCTACAGCCCAGACATGAATTAAGTCCCTTACACTGGATTGCAGTGTGATTTTGTGATGCCGGCTCCTTGCACTGACCTTCCAGCTCATGGGGTTGCTCAGCATTTACTCCTCAGCATGGAGGGGAAACTTTTTGCTCCCATCCATCTACTACAGACTTGCCCTGTTAAGCTTAGGCCTAGCAGCAGGCTCTATCTCACAGTAGGATAACGATCCTTTAAATAGCATTGGGAGTTTCTCTTCTCAGGGAGAACTAATTAAGTTCTTCAGCACATGCTTAGACATATGTTGACCCGGTATGGCCTTACCAGGCCTGCTTCCATCTACTGGATAAATAACACTGGCATAAAAAATATCCTCCTAGAGATGCGTTACTTAGGCAACAGCCAGGTGGGGGACTGACTTCTCCGTCTCTGTAGCTGAAGGTAGTGTTTACGTGTATCACTCACGGGCCAAGCTCTCTGCTGGTGTAAACTCCTTGGAATCAGTTAAGTGATTTTTATGTTCCGAAAGCACCATTGCAGTTACCTCTGCTGACCTCTTGCAGTGTATGGGCCAGAAAATTACCCCTGCCTTTACCTCAGTTACTTACTGTTCAGCCCAAGAAGCACATTTAACAGCAGCGGAGGGTTGCATCAGTGGAGAACATGGTCCATAGGAGCTGAATTCCTCCCCTGTGCAGTTGCATGGGATTGCAGTAGATGAAACTGAGCTAATGTGTCCCACAGGGGGTCTGTCTTGGCTCGAGGCAAAGAATTAATGAATGGAGAGTTTATTCTAAACCAGTTCTTTTCTGGTGCGTTATGGAACAGCTTCCTGGACTTCTCTGTGCTGACTTATACCAGCCGAGGATTTTGCCCGGTTGAGAGAAATGCCCTTTCCCGTGTCCTGGTGTTTCATGTGGCAGATGTGGTATAGGGTGGGCTCACAGCAAACCCTTGACTATTACAATCCCCTGAAATTTCAAGCACGGAAGCAGGTGCTGGAACATGAGTCCTGTTCTGGGTTTTGCAGAAACCCCAACCAGTAATTGGTATCAGCCTATGGAGACTTGTAGTGTCCTTGGGTGGGACCCAACAAAAACCCCACCCCATAAACATGTGGCAGATGTGGTATAGGGTGGGCTCACAGCAAACCCTTGACTATTACAATCCCCTGAAATTTCAAGCACGGAAGCAGGTGCTGGAACATGAGTCCTGTTCTGGGTTTTGCAGAAACCCCAACCAGTAATTGGTATCAGCCTATGGAGACTTGTAGTGTCCTTGGGTGGGACCCAACAAAAACCCCACCCCATAAACTCTGAACTTCTCTAAGTCCTGCTGAAACTTTGCAGCACAGGCTCGGTTCCTTCTCTGCGTAATTGCAAAGAGCAATTCACAGGAGTTAGAAGTGTCAGCCCTGCACTTACTGGCTCGGCTGGGTGGGGTGGCTGCTGGGTAGAGCTGCTGCCTATGGGCCATGAGTGTGTTGGTTGCAGTCCAGGGCATGATAATGAGCTCTGGAAGCAAGTGCCAGCCCTGCAGAGGTACCCCTAGAAACCTGCAAGAGCTTCACTCTCTGTTCTGGAGACCCCAGGGGTAGCCTTAGATAATTTCCAAGGGTTTTCAAAAGACTAAGAAAGTAATCCTACTTTTCACACACACCACCCCCGCCCGAATGGTCGGGGTTGGAAGGGACTTCTAGAGATCATCTAGTCCAACCCCCCTGCCAGAGCAGGATCACCGGGAGTAGATCACAGAGGAACAAGTCTTTTCTAAGCTTAAGTCTTCTATGCACAGACTGTACCCCTGTCAGAAAATGTTTATGGAACCACAGCCCCAGAAACCCACCATTTATTGCTAATGCGTGGGGGTGAGCATAGCCAGAGCAATTCAAGCTCTGTTTTACTGTAAACATTCTTAAAGTGCTCCTAAAGCTACAGGCTGCCCTTGTTCGAAGATAAAAACTGGATTTCCAGGAGCGTGCACTGAAGAGGGAGAGCCTTGCCTATGGGAAAAGGGCTTCCAGACAGTTGCAGGTTATCTGGAAGGTGAAGGCATCTTTTGCAGAAGGATAAATAGGTCTGAAATGCTGCAAGTGGCTTAACCTCAACTGTATCGTGTGACTGAAAAACCGAAACAGTCAGAGGATCAGGTTTATGTTCTCCACACGCCAGGGTCAGTGCCTCCTTGGCCAAATGCCATTTTTGATTGCATGTCCACAGTGCCTCAAGTATTTGCCTCTTTCTTATTCAGATAATGCCAAAGAGCACAGCCAAAGCCATGAGAGACGGGGAGTGCGACAAGGGCTGAAGGGAAGCAGACGAAGAGAGCTTGGCCGTGGAAAGGCAGCCTGGCCACCAGTGTTTGGTAAGTCCCTCCCTGCACGCCAGCTCCAGGACTGTTCAGAAAGCAGCTCTCAGTGTTTTCAGCACAGTGCCCATGAATAATTAACCCAAACAAAACAACAAATAACGTTTCCTCATCAGCGCACCATGTGGTCTCAGCTACCAAAGGAGAAGCGTGGGTAAGACTGACTCAGCTCCTGAGGGCAGTGAATCAGAGTGAAATACCCACGAAAGGGCGACTTCTGCCTGGGTGATGAAGCGAGGAGGAGCTGAGGTGGACTTTGCTTAGGGCCCTAGATGGGGACACTGGACATCTGAGACTCCTTCCGACTCTCTCACAGGATCCCTCAGTAAGTTGCTGATCCTGGCTTTGTTTATTCTATGTGTAAGTCTGAGATCATTTATTCTTCCCTTTCTCCTGCTCTTTGTCCATCCAGCCGTGTCTCAGGTTAGGGACTGTCTGGGCTCCTGAGCAGTTCCTTTATGGTGGGGCCTGATTTCGAGGTACAGCGAATAAGCAGTAAGCGCACCATAGACAGTCCAGGAGCTTGACAGCCTTCATATATCCAAAGGACAGAGACTGGTTGGTCACTGTGATGGTGACTACCTCACCTGACATTAGGGACCCTTTGTTACACCAAATCCACCTTAGTTTTGACCCAGGGTTTATTAAGGCAATGAGCCTCCTTGTGTTGTTCCTCCATCTGCGTGCCAGTCCCCCTGTTCCAATTACTTCTGAACCAGCTGACCTGATTCAACCCAGTTTGATGGAAAGAGAGAGGTCTCTCAGACCCAAAGTTCCTGCAATTTTCATGAAAAAACAGCAGCTGGATAGAAAAGAGACATTTAAGTTAATGCTGAAGGAAAGGTAATTACACCTCTTGCTCCCAATCTATTTTGAGATGCAGCAGCCAGGTGACCAGCTGGCATTTAGATACTGGCTGGTCAGTCAGTACCTGCCCAGCTGCAAACCAGCTCCTGCGCTTGCTGCCCCTTGCCTGCAAAGCAAGAAGCTGCTGAAAGAGCCGAGGACTTTGCTGGGGGGGTCTGGAGGGGATAAGGGTGCCCTGGGGATATTACAGTGAGCTGGGAGCACCCAGAAAGAATCAAAAAGCTGTTGTAATACACAAATCAGAAGGAGAACGGGTTTCACCAGTTCCCCTGCTCACAGAACAACTTGATTTTTAGGCTCACCCTTATTTTCAGGACAAAATGGATGCTTCTTTAACCACTACAGCACTTTCCCCAGAAAATGTCAATGACTGGCAAGGGTCTTACCAAACCCTCCAAACCTGCATTTTCTGTTTTTCAACAGAAAAACATGCCTTTCTGGACTTCTTTTGGCAATAAGAAAACATTCAGTTCTTTTTTTCCAAGAAAAGCATTTGAAGAAATGCCATAGAAAATGGAGTTACACATTTTTCCTAGGAACAAAAATACTTCCCCCAAGTACTTCCTTGGACTTGGCGTAGAAAGAGACTCTAAGACAGCCAAAGATGCGAACATAGTCACAGCCGAAGATCTTTCAGCCCAAGCAAGTGAGAGGGACAAAGAGTGGGATGGGATGATGCATGGGAAGAAGGACTGTGACTTTCCCAAGGTCACCCAACAAGCTAGGTGCACAGCGGAGTGTGCCGGCGCTGTTGGGTCAGCACTTCTGCCACTTGGCCGTGTGGCGCCCCTGCGCGTCTGTCTGTCCTGAAATAATGAGTTTCCTGGAGCAGAGCCAGTACTTTCCTGAGTGCTTGGAAAGTGCCTTCTGCAGCCCTAGGTACAGTCATAAATAATAATTTAAATGATAATAATATTATTAAAGTGGAGGTGTGCCACTGAAGATGGGACACACTCAGCAACAGAGTCCTAAATCGATGTCCCTCTTCCAGTAAAAGGTACAGTTTGCCTCACAAAGCCTGGGAGACCAGGATTTACTTCTATGGACCTGATAATCACAGTCTTTTGCTCTGCAAAAGGCAAACTGACCCGAGCTGAATTAGGTCCAGGATCTACTGTAACACTTCATGCCTGTAGTTGGCAGCTCCGGAAGGCTTTTTGCAGCTCAGGGGGATATCTGGAAAGAGTAAATTAACTGTGGTGGTGTGGGGAGCTGCCTGGACTAATGTTTTTTTCAGAGATAGGCTTTGATTGACACTTCAAATCTGCCTGACAATCTTTTATTCTAAGTGCAGTTGCTGCCTTTCTTCAGAGCAGGAAGAGCTGACTTGGTTGCTGTCCTTCAAATGGTGGATCTTATCACATGGGAGAAAGAAGAGGAGAAAAAAAAAAGGCAAACCACCTGGAAACAGCCACAGGTACAGCATAAAAAGAGGTAAAACTAAACGGATCTATTTGAGGTATTTCTGTTTTTCCCCTTTATGTCATAATCCAAAGCAAGATATATGAGAAAAGAGGCTTTGAGGAGCAAGAGCTGGCTGCTTTCTTTCTTTATTTGGCTGTTCACGACGTTGTTGTTTTCCTTCGAGAGATTTTTCATGCTTTGCCGACAGGACTGTGCCACCCTTCAGTGTGGAGAGGACTGGGAAGTCAGCAGAATAACCCCCTCACTCATTCTACACCACCTCTTCTCCCCACACTGCCTCTTACTCCTTAGTTTCAGGCATCTTGAATGCTTGTTAAATACTGGGGTCACACCATGCAGCTGCTCACAGAAGAGGTGACAGACACTTTTTACAATGGAATGTACACTTTTGGGGTTTACCCGAGTCGGCCAAGAAGGAGGTCGGGTCTCCAAACGGGCAGAGGCCTGCTTCAAATCCTGCTCTGGACACCCACCTGGGTGGCAAAATCGGTCTGTTGTTTGAGATGTCCTGTGTCTCCTCACTCGTTTGGTCTACCAAAAACCAGGCAGGCTCTTCAGACTGAGGAGTGTAGGGCTGCTGTTGTATGTCCAAATGCCAGGGAACATGCTGATAGTAAGAACTGCTCCACAATGGATGTTTCCCTTGTTCTCTGTGAATGCAGGTGTGGAGAAGACCAAGGACCAAAGTGAAAGGCGTGCAAGCCTCCGTGCCAGCCTGCGCAAGGTGGAGACATTTGCACACCTGGATGGGATTTCTTCTTGTCAGGAGTGTTTATCTTTGGGATCCTGCTATTGAGGGGGCATCGCAGACAGGATTACCAAAAGCACTGCTGTTCGCTGCTGCGCTCACCTCCACGTTGGAGCTGCAACCAGGCCAACCCAGCCAGCTCCTCCTGAGCTTCACGAGCAGAAGACAAGCCCAGGCAGGCCATCTCTGTGCTTCAGCAGGGGCAGCTCTGGCCAAGGCGTTTCAGAGGCTCTTCTGTGCTTTTCCTGTACCCGAGTCATGGATGCATCAAGCGCTTCAGTTTACAGGGCCATCAGCCTGGCAGCTTTCCTCAGCACTAAATTTACTTTTTAGAGTTACATCAGTGTCGTACCCAGAGGGAATGGAGGAACAGATGCAGCCTGTGAAGTCTGGCTTTAATTCACCTGCCTCATTTAATTTCCTGCCCTGTCTTCTAATCAATGAGTCTGCACTAGCGACCCTGGGGATGCAGAGGGTTTTTCACATACAGGAGAATTCAACGCTGTGGATGTGCTGGCTGAGTGCTCGGGGTCTCGAGTGGGCTGTGTCACACCTCCTTTGAGGCTGCTTCAGTATGGATTCCCCTCCCCTAGAAGCACTTGCATGCATCCCCCAACCTGTGGCAGCTGCACCACATTTCCTTGCAGGGGCAGTTGGCACAGGGCAGCTGTGCCACATTAGCCTCTCTCTATCCGGCTGGCTGTGTGGCATTCCCTCCCGGAAGTGCTCTCTTTCCAGGCGTTCCTGGTTTGCAGCAACATGGCTTTCTTTTCAGGCCATGTGCTGCTTTCTGGGACTCTGTTCCCATAGCAGCTCTTCCGCGCTACCTCAGACAGGCTGCTGGGGCCAAACATCCCTCATCTACCTCCCAGGGGGCTCCCAGCAACATCGTGGGACCAGTGGTGCTGGGCAGGGGCTCCTTTCTTGAGGCAGCTGGGCCTTTAGGCCAGGCCATCATGCCTTACGTGTGTCACTTCCCAGGTGTCCCTCCGCTGAGGACAGCAGCACCATGTCACCCCAAAGGTGCTTTCAGGACTACATTGACTCAGGAATGTCAGGAAGCCCCTTGAAAGGGTTTATGGAATTTTGCTTTGGTTAAGCAGACTCCTGCTGTCCTGGTTGTTTCTGAGCTCGTGTTAGTTCCAGGCAGTCCTGCCCAGTTGCTTAACCACAGCGTCCAAACCCTGGGAGACAGGAAGGCTGTCCTTGGCCGGCAGCACCTATTCTGTGACGTTGCTGCTTTACCTCACCTTG